AACATTAGGTAAGCTCTTTCCCTCAGTGATTTACAACCCTCCCTTTCAACAAATTTCTCTCAGCATAACTCGCGTAACACATACGATTCGTCCCAGCCCAAAAATACGTTTTCTACTCGTAGAATAGGAGTCGGTATCGACAGCCCTAATCCTTCCATCTTTGTAATTGATACCAAAATATGAGAATTTTTCTTGGAAGAAGTTCATCTATATGCGATGGTCATCCTTAAAAATTGAAAATTGAAAATGGATAATGTGTAACTACACTAGCAATTCATTTCATATCCACATACCCAGCTCTCGCTTCTCGCTTCTCGCTTCTCGATTCAAGATTCAAGATTCAAGATTCAACATTTTTCCTATTCTGTACCTATATAAACACGTATATTTCATTCCTTTCTACTTTTATAATGCTACAAAATATACACAAGAGTGCCAGGTCTAGGACTGAAGGAACCATTTGATTGCTGCACTCCTCGCGCACGCGTGAAATGAGATAAAGATAGATTTCTAATGATAGAGATAGAAAATCTCACGAGCACAGGGGGAGTAGGAAAAGGAATGGATAAGTTTTCATTGATTATTGATCTTATTTTCTCTACCGTTGTTGTTAGTATTAAATTGTGATACCTAAATAACAATGGTAAAAACCTTGACGACAGCATCACTTATCTTCATCATTGGACAATCATCATCACCCCCATACCCCTTCGACAAAATCAATCTAAACTTAATCTCTTTCATCTCTCCACTACTTTCTCTCCTTTCAAACTCAAAATCTATTATTTCTCGTCTTTACGTGTCTCCCCTCCTTTGATTCTCGATAATCAATAAGCAAACATCCCCAATTTATATACATATACAATTTAAAAAAAAAGCAATAAAAAAACAGAAACAAATACTCAATCAAGAAGATTCAGAATGTGAATAAAGATAATATCAGATGAAAAACATGAAAATAACTCATTCTCCCTCTCCAGAAATCCAAATTTAATTTTGATTTTTTCACTTCCACCTCCAGCTCCACCTCCGTCTTCATATATGAACTCTAGGATAAATAGCAAAGATGACCTTCCCCTTTTCCTCTTCCACTCTCTTAACTTCTTCTTCTTCTTCTTCTTCTTCTTCAGAGCCAGAGGAAATAATCAAATCAAATCAAATCAATATCCATTAAACAATAATCCAGCACTTCGAATCACAAGCGCTAACTTCGAGTAAGAGTTCTGGAATCTCCTCACTATATAGATTTCGATTTCCATACTAAGACCATTCATTTTTCAGCTTTTCAAACCCCTATTTATTTACTCAAACTTTATATAAAATCATAAAAAAAATTCAAAATCGATTTAGAATCAATTTAATTATATATAAAAAAGCTAGTTTATTTTTAAATATTTTATTTATAAAGTTATAAGTTATTAAAGATAAAGTTTATAAATTTTTCAAAAAAATTGCTTATTTTATATAGGAAAAGCATTACAAATCGAATTTTTTTTAATTTTTCCAACTTCAAATCTATATAATTTATAAACAAAAGTAATTAAAAATAATAAATATATTTTATATTTTCGATAAAGAATAATATTAATTATTTATTTTAAAAATTTGAAAATAAAATTCCCTGAATAGAAAAAGTTATTAATTTTTTAATTTGTATAGAAAAACATCATTTTTATAGGGATTTTATTATAAAAATTTATAAGGTGTAGTGAATAAGTTCGATAACTCTTATATATTTAAATGATATATTCCCTATCATTTATAACTACTTCCTAGAGATCAAGTCTCAGAATTAATCCTTCATTCCTTTCCTTCTTCCTTTTCTCCTCTCCAAAAAAAATATATAAACCTATTAATCATTGATAATAAACATTTTGAAGATTAGATATAAAATAACCAGGGGCCTGCGAGCCTCCCGCATCCATTGCTTTTCGAGAAAGTATTATTTAATAATTCTTATTATTATAAATTTTAATTGTTATAAATTTTTAATAGTAGTTATATCGAGAGCTTATAGGCAGAGTCGGTTTATCTTCTTTTAACTTCTTTAATTCTTTTAATAATAATAATAAATTCCTAATTTTTACCTATTAAGATATAGATGTATATGTACGTATATGTGTTTATATATAGTATATATTATAACATAGTTTATCAGTGGGTCGGTCATATTAATAAATCGATTACTTTTACCTTGAATTGTTACTTCAAAACTATATTATTCAATAACAACTAAATCAATTAATTAAAACTATCAAGAATTTAATAATCTAGAATTTATTATATTATTTTGATAAGTTCTTATATTATAATCTATCTTTTCATATTTATTACAATATTGATTAAAAAATACTTCCTTATTAGAATTTCCTTCTTTTTGACACTTATTATATTGAATTTAAATATCAACCTCTTATTAAAATAATATATTAAAAGTTTTTTATCTAGTAAATACTCCTCCTTAATATAATTAGGTTTTTTTCATGTATCAATAATTATTTAATACTTTATTTACTACTTAAAGTATACGATTCTTTATATTTAAAAGTGTATTTTCATAAGCTAATCTTTTTATACCCTTAATTAAAGCTAATATAATCTCAAATATAAATATAGGAAAGCTTATTTGATAATGAGTTATTCGAGATTTAACTAATATTAATTAAAAAAGCTTTAATTAAATTACAAGGGATTTGAGAGATCTATTAATCTAAATTGAAAGAGAAGAGAGTAAGTATACAAATTCGAATATTTAATTTCGAGAGTATAGTTTCAGGATTGAATAGGATTAAACCTATTCTTTAAAATCCTGATTTTATATTCTGAAAAATAATTGATTTCTTATATATAGTTTTAAAAACTATAAAGAATTCAATCTTTAAAATATAATTGATATATATTTTAATAAATCTATTAATTCAATTATTATATAAATATTTTAAATTATTAAAACAATTAATATTAAATGATTAAGTTAAATAACTTGAATATAATAATAAATATAAATATATAATATTATTCTTTTTATAATATACTTGAAAAGCTATTAATTTATAGTTTTTATACTTATTTAATATTAATATTTGATATTTACTCTTTCTTCGATTCTTAATACATTTATTGAAATATTTCAATTATTCTAAACCTGTTTTATTATTTGTTCATTTATTAGATATAGGTTTAATAATTTATTTTGTAGGAAGAATTGGTTTTAGTATATTAATTAAAGAGATAGATTTATTCTTAAATTATTAAAAATAAGAGAATAGTTTTATTCTCTTTATTTCTATATATTATTATTGTAATTTATTCTCGCTTGCCTTATTATATAGATTTACTTCTATTATATTTCTTAGTATTAATAACAATCATTATTATATATATAATTCCTATTATAAAGCCTGTTTTATTGAAATTATAAAAATCTCTATTCAAAATACTATATTTCACTTATATATTTGTAACTAATTAAAACCATTCTTTAATAAACTTAGGATTCTTATAAAAAACTTTTTGAAAGTTATAAATACAACTAAAACATATCTTTAATTCGATTCAATACTTTATGAATCAATATGCTTAAAGCTTCCCAACACGTTTCACATTTTTCAATTCAAGAATATAATTCGTTATATTTTCTACATTCTTAAGTTTAAATGAAAAACCTTTTAAATCTATATTAAGAATATATTAAATAAGTATTTCCTCTTTTAATTCAATCAAATTATAACTTTTTAATTAATTTTCAATTATATTAGGTTTACTTCGAATTTTATTATTTAATATAGTTTAAGATATATAATAAAATTAAGCTGTTTTTCGAATTAATAATTTTTTATTTAATTTAATAGCTTAAATAGTTAAGATTATATATACTTCTTTAGAATGAATTTTCATGATTAATTATAAAGAAAACACATATTAAATATAGAATAATAATTCAAGGTAAAAGTAGCTAATCCATTAATATAACCGACCTACTAATAAACTATGTTATATGTATTATTAATAATACTAAGAAGGTTAATAAATCTCTAATTTACTTTAAAAACACTATATATAAATTTTAATTCTTTATATAGGTCTTATATTTAAGATTAGAATTATAAAAATTATATCAATTCAAAGCTTTTAGTTTATTTTATATAATTACTAAATTTTTAATTCTTTATTTAATTTACTTAAGATAGTTTTATTAAAAAAGATGATTAATCTTTTTAGATATTGTATTATAATATAATATTAATAAAGTCAAAATTTATTTTAATTAATTAGATCGCTCGAATTAACTCTTATTAAGTAAAGGTTTTCATTTTATATATATACATATATAACACTATGATTCTTACAGATAGTAAGATTATCAAGGAGATAAACCTTTAATAAACAATAACTTTTTTTCTATTTTCATTATTATCATTATTACTACTCCTATCATCATTATTCAAGATTATACTATATATTCATATCTAAATCTCATATCCCATACTACCCTCTCTCTCTATCTCCCTCTCCTAGACCCCCCCTAAGCCAGCCTCTTACCTTCACTTCAATACTACAATCTATTCACAATTCAAAAGATACAAACACAAATACAAACACAAACGATTAATCATTTAACAATTCATATACACATCTCTCGAGTCTCCACACCCACATATCAAAGAACATCAAAGGATTAATCAATCAACAATGTCAAAATGTCACGTTTTACTTTAGATTCCATCATTCCATACCATGTCATTCTAGACCTTCATCCTCAAAACTCAAACTCAAACTCAAATTCAATTCCTCCCCCGCATCCCGAAATTCCTAGTACAAACACGTCATATCCTTTCCTATTCTTTCTAGAATCGTTCATTCATTCAATCATTTCTCAAGTTTGTTCTCCGTCTCGATTGATGCAATGTTAATCTCAATGTCAAGGTCGAAGTATGGAGAAGGTCACACTATGTATTCTAATTCATGTTTATATTCACATTCAATCCGCACACTATGCAATCCGAAAATCTTCAAATAGTATTGATAATTCATTTTCTTCATTCCTAATTTCTAACCCTAAAAGAGCGAAATTTAGATATACATCCCTTTCCATGTCCATCAAACCACGAAATGAAAGAAAATCTATCTATTTCTAGATGTTGACTTCTCGTGTGTAATGTGAGTATGTATGTGATAATATGTAACCCAAAGCAAAAAAACTCCATCCGATCCCATCATAATCATTTGTCATATCAATCCATGACGATTATGAAGATTCTATTCCAATCTAGTCAAGTCAGTCTGGTAACTAACTGCTCGTATCATGATTTCAGTAGTATATCCATATCCATATCCATCCGTTCATACCAGTATCCATACCAGTTCCCATATCCATCCATCCATCCCATAACCGTAACCATAACCCATATCAAATCCATATCCATATCATAACCCATCATCATCAAAACATCTACTCCTTAACTCTACCCAAAACCTTCTTCCCCGGTTGAAAGCCACTCTTTGTCTTCTCAGTAATAGAACCCGCAGAGTTTGTTTTTTGCAAAGCTAAGCGTGCCATTTCACCCTGATCTTGATCGGCAGGTTGAGAGAGACGTCGAGTGCGTTCTACGCGATAGGTTTTGGCGGGGAGATGCATGGATGCGAGAGCGGCGGCGAGACCGAGTGCTGAGGCTGGGGGAGGGGGAGGGGGTGTTAGTTTTGGTATATGGGGGAGAGGAAGGAAGAGAGGAAGGAAGAGAGGGAGGGGTGATGGGGAAAGAAAGAGGAAGATGAGATGAAGATGAAGAGGCTAAGTGTGGTTATGATAGTGATTATATGTTGTTATAATATGAGATAGAATCCATACACATCAACAACAAAGCGGCACCACAACATACACCAACCCATCACATCAAAACAATAAAATTAAAACAATAAAATTGAAACTTACCACCAGCAGTAACAACTCCAGTAACAGCAACCATGATGAATGGTTTATTAGATGTGATTCTTTGATTCTTTGATTGATTGTATTGTGATGTATTGGAGACTTCAAGTGATGAAGTTGATGTTGAGGCTGATATTGATATTGATATGAATCTTGATGAAAGATATCAAATCAATTGTGTAGTAAGGTAGGTAGATATGTAAAGTATTTATCGTATTTATCGTATTTGTCGTATGAAACTTGATCAACCGGATATTGATTGTATTGAATGTATCTTTAATGTATTGTATTGTATTGTATTGTATTGTATTATACTTGAAATAAGAAGAAGAAAAAGAAGAAATAAATCCCCTCAACAAAGAGAAGATACCACTCCCATAAGTACCTCCTCCCTTCTCAGCCCACACCCATATCCATCATACCACCCCAAATCTCCTGTTTCACGCCTCTTCATCTCACTGGTCCATCGTGCGGGGTAAGGTCCAGCCACTAATCTGCTTTCATCTTTCGCTAATAACGCCGCAAATGCGTAATCTGGGGATTTATGCAGAATGTGGATTAAAGGGACCCAGTTTTTAGAGGAAATATCCACTTAGCTTCGGGTGTTGAGGGAAGGATCTGGGGTAATTATGGGGATTGGGTTGAGATGTCGTGTGAGGTGAGGTGAGGTGAGGTGGTGTGGTGTGAGATGTTTGTTTTGAGGGAGGATTTTGGGAGAGAGGGGGATGGATAATTAGGGTTTGAACGATAGGGAAAGGAATGAGGGAATTTTAATAGGGGATTGAGGGAGAGAAAAGGAGAATTTGTCAAGTGTCTAATTAGATAGTTAGGTATTTGGTGAGTGACGAAAGAAAAGAAATAAAAAGAACCTGAGTGGGATTGTCAATTTTCTTACTAGGTATTTATGTATTAATATGATATATGATACCTACCTACTCAAATACCACTGAGACATACCACTCATTCATTCAATCACTACACAGGTAAGAACAAATCCCTTCAATCATTAGCGAATTGATCGCTCCTCAATATCATCGCAATAGGAAGAATATACATACACATACATACTTAGGTCAGTATACATATACGAGAATATCTGTAACGTGATTTGATGGATTATTGTCACAGGGTATGTACCTGGATACCAACCCAGTACGTAGATGTGTAGGGAAATAAAACATGTTCTTTCGAGTCACGAATCATGAAGTGATGAGTTAATTGTTGACCTACCTAGGAATAGAAGGATGTGTATTAGTAGCTACATACACCCAGATTGCTGTTTTGATTAATATTTCAAAAAGTATATCTACGGAATAGAAAGAGGTCTGATATTATATTATATTATATTATAGCACATATGCCTATCACTCACCTAGTGTCCAGGCCCTCCCAACCATCAAAAACAATCCACGAATCCGGGGCCCCGCACACCCCTTATTGTCACTTTTTATCTCACTCAACCCAGGTCTCAACCTCTTTTCTCTCTTCTTTTCTCCTTTCCTTCTTTTCTCATTCCATCACACTCTTAACTTACCTACCTAATCTAATACCTTTCCTTTCAAGTTTTTACCTTTTTTAACCTTTCCTCTTCCTTTTTTAAACCTTTCCTCTTCCTTTTCTAACCTTTCCTCTTCCCTTTCTTTCCACCCCCCAATTTCCCCAACACACCCACCAACCTAACTCATTACATCAGATCCCTATTCCCCATCATTCCTCGCTCCAAAATATCAACCCATGTACACCCCTCCCTCCCCTCACGTAAAACTCCCAACCAAACCAAAACTCCGCACTGTTACTTCCAAGCTTCCAAGCTTCCAAGTCCCAATTTCTAAACTCTATTCCTTCTCATCCAGTAATCACAGATTACAAATCTTAGGGATCATCCATATTGCATCCGGAGATGTGCGAGAGGAGGAAAGAGGGGCTTAGATAACCTATCATCTATAACCAGTCCAGTTTTGAGTTTGGGGATTGCGGTTGCAGTTTATGATTCTGATTGGAGTTACTGACTCATGTTTCCATTCCAATTCGAATATGAGCACCTACCGGTACCAAGTGAGATATTGATACAAGTACCTACCTATAAATATCTATTTTTAAGAGAAGGGGGGAAGTGGTAGGGTCGAGGATTTATAATCCGATTGTCTTCTTTCAAGTAAACTATGATCGAGATTGAGATTAATGTATTAGATAGATAATATAGTTCATCAGTATATAGATCATATCATCATATGAACTACTTCATTTTATATATAAAACTCATTTTTATATAATTATACAATTTTTTTATTAATCAATAGAATTTTTCAAAAACTTTTTATAAAAGAACTAATTTTTCAAATATTTCAAAAATCTAATTCTTTTTTCAAAATTTGAACTATTATTAAAGTTATTAAAGAAAAAGAGTTTTTATAATACGGAATATAACAATTTCAAGCTCAAATGAATAATTTAAAGAAAAATCTAAATATTATAAATATTTCATTTTTATTATGATTTTTTATAATTTTTTCTTTTAAAAATAATAATTAATTATTAAAGTATAAATATATAAAAAAAACCTTTATTTTAATATATTTTCGAAGTAGCCTACATGATGATATAACTCACGTACTAATGAACTACGTTATCTATACGATATATATATTACTACTTTAAATTAACAAATAGAGTAATAAATTCAGATAATATACTATTAAATGATGTTTTATCTTGTATTAAGTTGTACATCTGATAGGTATTTAAGTTCATTTAAAAATTTACATATATTATATTATATTCATAGCCTAATAAAGGTTTATTGATTTACTAACGAACTAATTAATTAATCCCCTAATCCATCGAATACAACGCATTGTCATATACATATAGCCAATCAACCATCTAGATTCTTATCTACCTACCCTGCTACCTAAATACTTCCCCTCAAACCTCCCCCAGAAATCACCACTTCTTTTCCCCTCCCCCCCACAATCACAATCACTACCCCCCAAGCCTGACCCCCCCAAAATTCCAAACCCCCCCCATTCAACCACGCCCAATCATCTTCAATTTCCATCGTCAAATTACCTGCCCAATCAAAATCATTCAAAGTCCATCCCACCTGTATTTGTCTCTGTCCCTGTCCTTGTGTATCTACCAGTACTTCTCTCGCTTCTCCCACTTCTCCCGCTTCTCTAAAAGGCTCAGTATTTTCACAGCGCGTGTTTTTGTTTTTGTGTGTATTTGCATTACAATGATTTGATTCCCAGATTTGTAATCTGACTTCTTCGTGATCGGGATTGTCATTATGATTCTGAATACTCTCCAGCGAGAAAGAAAACGGTGCACTATGCCTTTGCACTTGCATCTCCACAACCTCATCAACCTTAAAATCACGAGAATTATCATACTCCCCCGGCGCAATCGTAATCACACCTACATACGACCCCACGATTTTCGCATACGGATTGCCCCCTCCAGCATCACCCGCGCTCCTCCTCTCTTCCCTCCTCGCACAATCCCCCCTCCTATCCTCATCGTCAAAGTCTGATCCCTGTACCTCCTGTTTCGCAACCGAATTCCCTATTGAATTTCCCGCTTTCGTGAGACTCTCGGTCGTTTGCACGATTAACTCTCTATCATCATTCTCATTCTCATCCTCATTCTCATTTCTTCCTCCCCTTCCCTTCTCACAACTTCCACATCCAAGCATACTAAAAATAAAAAGGGTACAACAACGAATTCTTGGTAATCGATTAATTTGGGCGTCTGAAAAGCACCGTTTATATCGACCCGCATGATATGCCAAATCCGCAGGAGACTCGAGACTTCGTGCAGCGGTGAGATATTGTATGCGGTGTGCTTCAAGGATGGGAGCAAGGACGGATTGTAACGTGAGGGCCTGTGGAGGAGAAAGAGGAAATGGTACTACCAGCATTGAGCGGCGATTTGCTCGAGGTATTCGGGGCGGGAGATTTTGTTTTGAGAGAGAGAGAGAGGTCTGGGAGTTCTAGAATGAGGGGGGAGGGTTTGGATTTTTTTGGGTGTGTTGGGTGAAAAGCTGGAGATTGCGTTGGTTGCGATTGAGGATTTTGGAGGTGAGGATTGTGAGATTGTGATGGAATTGTGCGGCGGGGTTAGTTTGGTTGTGGGTAATGGGGATGGTACGTCCGTCTGCGGCATAGGGAAGTCCGAGAAGAAGGGAGAGATATACATCTCCTGTGCATAAAGAGAGTCAGGATTGGATTCTTTGATTTCTTTCGAGGGAGTTCGTGTCGGTGGATAGATGGGACGGTGGAGATTGAGAAGTTGACTGGAGGATATTGCTTAGTGAGTTAATATCCAGCGTTTGCGGTTGAGTCCTAGATTCACTGGGGAATGTCGGTATTTTTTTAATTGAACGGTATGTAAAGTATAAGGGGATTATAGGAAGTTTGGAGTTTAAAAGATGTTCAGATGGTAATATGGGGTTCGGAAGTCCATTCCTATAATCTCGTGTGGAAGAAACTCTAACTACAATTTCATCTCCTATATTGGATATTCTATTTATTCTCTGTATCCTAGTCTGCCTCCACGGCAGTGGCCCCCGGAGGGCCAGCGGAGCGTTATTTTCAATTGAGTTTTATTTATGGGGGCAAGCCCCCAAACCCCCTTAGCTCGCTGCGCTCGAAAGACTTTTATCACAGGTTTGTTTTTGAAAAGGAATTTGTAATCAAAACCTAGAGTCAGAAGTCTCCTAAGGAGTCAATCTTCAGCTCATAGTTTAATTCTCCCAAGCAGGAATTCATCGAATCTGGAATTTGATCTGACATTTTCTCCAAAAAACGAATGAATATCAAAAGTAGTAATCTAGAAGATCATGCTTCCCAATCACCTCTGAAAAGAAATTGAAAATACATACTATAGATCTTAGCCGCAGAAGCAATCATCTCAATACCCCTTTTCATACTAGCATAATTCCCATCATTCACAATAAGTCTCTCTATCTTTTCAAAGTATTCCTGAAAAAGTGTACCAGATAAAGAAGGAAGTTGACGAATAATATACTAATGAATTCTAGTATCTAATTGTTGAAGGCAAACTGCAATACAAAGTAGTACTATACCAACGATCGATAGATTAGATAATACAAGAGCTCAGAGTATAAAACCTGGAAGTGTGGAAGTCGTGTTGTCGGTTGGTAAGGGCAGTATGGAACCTAGATGGAACCTAGTGGTCGCCTATCGGGATTTTAGCAATGAGAATCAAGTAATGATTTGGGATCTAGAAGAATTTTCTCATGTATACCACCATAAACATGTCGCGTTGAACATTATTTCACGGAGTGCTGGGGGAAAAAGACCAGAAAGTAATGATTTGCGAGTACGAATATGTTTTTTTTGCAGTTGCAGGATTTTTGGCTTTTGCAAGCTTGGAAATGGGTTCAGGGAAATAAATCAGAGCTGTGACTTCTCCACTGGTCGACATCTTAGTAGTTGAAGGTTTGAGGGAAGTAAAAGAGGGAAATGAGGCTCACAATAGCGTTATCGAAAAGTGTGACGATGGGATCGATATCTTGAGAGGAATTTTCATCAACTAAAGCTGGAGTCTCAAGTGATGAAGTAATAGATACTGGTATACATTTCGCTTCCAATCCTGACGGAGAACTCTCCAAACCGAGTTTATCCTCCCATACATTTCCCCCCTCAATATTCAAATTCCCATCCACATCATCAGGAATAGTACTACTACTCATCCTCCCATAGTCTTCAATCACCCTTCAAGTCTTTCAATCGACTCTCTCTCGTATCAACATTTCCCACTTGATTCAATTCTCTTCTCTGTTCCGTACATTTTCGACCTTTCATTTCACAATTTTCACATGTAGCAGATTCTTTGGTGAAGATACATCGAACTTTTCGTTTTCGACATTCGTAACAACCTTGTGTTCCTAATCGCATGCGTTTTGGAAGAGTGGGATGAGAATCTTGAGATTGAAGTGGCATTTTTACGTGAATTCCTGAAGAGAGGTATTTCGAATGATTTTTCGTCCATAATGAATAAAACGGATCGTTTTGATTATAAACAACGATATTTCTACCATTTAGAAGGAGTATGAGTATACTAACCTCGTCCAGACTAGATCCCAAGCACAAAAATGACTTCGTCCAAGCTTTCGTCCGAAGAATTGTTCAATTGGTTCAAATTCTTACATAATACCGAGGCCGATTTGGTCGATATGGCCAAAACCCCAAAAATAGATTTCTGCCTGAAGCAAAAAAAATTTCTAAAATTTGTATGGTGTGGCCATAGAAAACTTGGAAAAAATATTTGTACCATACAGAACGCGATCTCATCGTATATCATTATAAAAACTATATATAATATATCTTTAATTTTTCGAACAATATAATAGCTACAATAATATTATTAAATTATAAAAGTTATTTGAATAATAAAGCTTACTTTTTATCGATTATATAAAGCTTATAAAATTATCTTAATATATTTAATCTTATAATAAATAAATATATTTAATATAAACAAATAATTAAATCAATTTACTTTTTAATCAAAAATCTTTTATTTAATTTAAAGAAAATTAATAACATTAAATTATATAATCAATATAATAAAATAACATTTAATTTTATTAATCTTTAATATATTAAATTCAAAATATTTATATAATTTATTAAAGTCTATATTCTTTGAATTATTAAAAGTTAATAAAAATCAATATATTTTTTTTTTTTATAATATTTATTAATATTTTATTAACTAAAATATTATTTTATATATATAAGTTATCTAAAGTTTTTTGAAAAAAAGATTTAATATAAGATTTAATATTAATATAATATAAAAAGCTTAATAGTATAATAATAAGAATTATAATCCAATTTTAATATTTATTTTTATAAAATTATTTATTCTTTAATAATTTTTCAAAATAATTTTAAATAATATTAGTAATTAATTATATAGAATTTTTTTAAAAAAATTGGATTAGGTATAATAAATCAAGAAAGTTTTTCAATTAATTTTATAAAATAAGAAATAAGGAAATATATTTTTCATTAATATAACAATAAGTGTTTAAAAAAGCTTTTATTATTAATTCTTAATATATTTTCTTAATATATTAATTTCTAATATTGTTTCTAAATTTCTAATCATTTTTAATTTCTTTTCTATTTTTAATAACTTTATAAAAAATAAAATAAAATAAGCTTTAATTATAAAAAAGAAATTTATTTCTTTATTTACTTTAAAAAAGCCTTAATAGTATATTATTTTTAAAGTATTATATTAAATATTAATATATAATTGATTTTAAATATTTATTAATAAAATACTTATATATATTTATATAATAAATTAGAAATAATATACTAACATTAATACATTAGAATATCTAAATATATATAAATAGCTTTTACATAATATAATAATGTTACGACGGCATCCAATATACCGCGTCACATGGTCAGGAAGTCACGTGATGGACCTAGAGGATCTGGGGGATCGAAGAATAAACATCTAGATCCATAGGATCCAGAGGATCCAGACAAGACAGAACTGTAGGTTCTGCAGAGCAGGAAGGTCTATATAAGAGAACAGATTTCATTACAATGTAGAGCTTCGTGCTCAAGAACAATCATTAGTTTCATTACTATAGTTACGAGAATTGCAACCAGTTACAACCTTATTGAATTCCTACTTGAAGTCTAGTCTAAACCACCTCGAGAGATCTCTAGACACTTCCACGTGACCCTAGAGGCAGCTCCCGTAACAAATAAGAACTTTATCTTTCTTTTATACTATATATATATCAAAGAATATATTTTAATATATATATAAATTAGAAATATATATTAATATCTATATAAATTTCAATTTTAATAAAAACTAATTTATTAACTAATTAAATATTATTTGATTTAAAAATTTAATATATTAAAACACATAACCAACAATGTAATATTACATGTTATGCTTTACTCTATATATATATAAAGTATATAAGTAGGAGTAGTATACATATATAAATATAGTAATTCCCTTTTCATATAAAGAGAGTAGACAGAAATAAACAATCCTTTTATTCATACATATTATATATATACATTTTACTAAATCTGCCCAATATAATATTTTCTATAAATAAATTAAAATTATTTTATATATTTATAAATGTTTTTAAAATTTATAATTTAAAGTATATTAAATAATATATTTTTAAAATAAATATAAAATATTAATATAAATATATTTTATAATTTTAAAAAATAAATATTATATTATAAAATAAACTTCTCTTTTATTTAAAAATAAATATATAATAATATTTTATTATATTCTTAAATATGATTTAATTTCATATTATTTTTTAGAATATTAAATTAACATTAATTTTATTTATATTTTTCTTTTAATAAAGACTTTTTATAAAATTTAAATAATAAATATATTATAATTATTAATTTAAAAGCTCTTTTATTTCTTTATTATTAAATAATAGAATAAAATTATATATAATTATTTTATTTTTAAATATAAAATTATTATAATTAATTTTGAACTTTTAATTAAATTTTTAAATATTAAAATATTTATTAATAATTCTAATTTCAATTTAAATATTGAATTTAAAAAAAAAGATTATTTAATATTGTAAATATTGTAAATATTATAAATATTATAGTATTTATTATATTATTTATTATATTATTTTATTATATTATTTATTATATTATTTCTTCTATTATTTGTTATATTATTCCATAAATTGAATTCTTTCTCTTACCGTTAATAAATTTAAGATTGAATTAGTATCATTAATAAATAATTAACTAACCTGAAAAGCCAACTTCCCGCCTTTCATCGTTCTAAGACTCACTATCTTCTTACTTTATCCCCGTTTAAAAGCAGAGAGAGTATTGCCTTACACTCTTCCTGCCCAGTCCTCATTGATTTTTAATTCAAACATTCCTGAATACTACATACACTTTTCTCTTAGGCAGAAATCTATTTTTCGAGTGTTGGGCCAGATCTCCCAATCGGCCTCGGTACATAAGCGTCCGAGCTGATGTCTCATTGTACTTCTCAGACATATCGTCCGTATTTTCGTCCGCTTGGATTGTTAATTTGTAGTTTGTGTGGTTGTAGGAGTACTAGTTTCACGAAAAGAAATGTAATGACGCAAATGATACTATTGTGTTTGCGGCTGCTATTAGTACAGATATACATGTATAACTAACCAACGATGTACCTCTCTCAGTTCTGATTGTATTCTCCTTCATCTACTTTTTATAGACTTCTACTTCTGCTGTCATAGACAAACAGTGATTTTCTCAACGTGAACACATTGTTCGATTTTCTTATTTTTCTACTCCAATCAACAAAATGGGTTGGTTCACCTCCTTCCTCTATTCCCAACTATTCGTCACTCTCCCCATCCCAACCCACAACTTCACAAACCAAACCATAATCATAACCGGATCCAACACCGGTCTCGGTCTCGAAGCCGCTCGTCACATTTCCCGTCTGAACGCTCGTCTCCTCATCCTCGCCGTGCGTTCTCCAACCAAAGGTCACGCCGCAAAAGCATCCATCCTAGCTAGTACCGGCCGTCCCGAATCCAGCATCGAAGTCTGGTCTCTAGATATGCAATCTCCATCTTCCATTCAAGCTTTCTGCGCAAAAGTTAACAAACTCCCCAGAATTGACGCCCTGCTTGCTAATGCGGGGGTTATCACGAAATATTTTAAGTTGGTGGAAGGATATGAAAGTACGGTTATGACGAATGTGATGGGGACTTTTCTATTAGCATTGGGGATATTACCGAAATTGAAAGAGTCGGCGAAGGAATTTGATATCCAGCCTAGAATCTCAATTGTAGCGTCAGATTTACATTGGATCACCAAATTCAAAGAAAGGAAAGAAGAGGATATTTTCAAAGCGTTAAATGATGAAAAAACATCAGAATTAGATTTAGAAAGGTTAGCCATCTCATCTCATCTCTACCCTCACTCCCAGTACCCTAACCCATCCTAAAACCCACTTACTAACACCACCCAGATACTCCACGACCAAACTTCTCCAAGTCCTCAGCGTCCGCGAGCTAGCTCACAAACTTACTCGTGACTCCGAATCTGTATCTCCATCTATCATTATCAATTGCATGACTCCGGGAGCGTGCAAATCCGATTTCCATCGCGAAGATGAGGGGTTGGAGAAATTCAAAAAATGGGTCTTGAGTACTCTGATTGCGCGGAGTACGGAAGTAGGGAGTCGAGCTTTGGTGGCGGGTATTGCGGCGGGGGAGGAAAGTCACGGGGAGTATATGGCAGATTGTTTGGTGGCTGAGTATGTATCTCTTTTTGCTGTTTCTCTATTGGGGTAAAGGAGTATAGAAACGGATGAAAGATTGTTCTGAAATTAATAATTGCTAATGCCAGTATAGAACCGGTCCACTTGTGAGAGGACCCGAGGGTATGAAGTTGCAGAAGAAGGTATGGGATCAATTAGTGAGGGAACTGGAGACGATCCAACCTGGGATTTCCTCAATCATCTAGTGGCACGATTCTCGGGGGAATAAGAAGGCGAAGAATAGGAAGGAAAAATTTGTTTTTAGATTTTAGAGTTCTGTTAAAGCGTCGAGTGGCGTGGATTGATCTGCGATGGGTTTGAGAATATGTATAGTATGATTTCTACCTACTCGTTTGATTATTCGGTATTTGTCTTTGACATTTCGAGAATCGAAAAACATATCTAATCACATCAGAAATCGAGAAAAGTCCGCCAAGTGGCACACAAAGAGATTTATGAACAAAACTTATCAATACAAACACCTAGGTACTTATCAAAACGAGAAAGTCGCTCTACTTCACTACTATATCTCCATAACCCTCCATCAACGAATCCAATTCATCACATCACACTGGTCTCACAATGCCCTATCATACTACTCAAAATCCTCGATCAAGCCACTTTTCCCTTGCCATAAAAATACGTTCATTTCTTCACATATACTCAAAATATTGCACACCCATTCATTTCCTAACAACAAAGTCCTCTGCGAAATATTCAACAAGTAATATAAATCGCAAGAATACCCAAAAAAACGCCTTATGCTTCTTAATTTGTCTATTTTCCACCTGTCCAATCCAAGTGTATCTTTTCATGCTGTTTTTCTGAAAACCGTGACAGCCCATCATCCTCGATGATTTTTTGAGGTTAGTATTGGTATTCGCTGTTTTGTTTTTTTGTTGAAGCTCATATGCCGAGAGAATGTGCAGGACCATCTCCTATTCTTGCATAGATGATTTTAGCACCCTTTCATCTCTGTCTGTGAGCAGTCACATCTTTTCCCTCTCATTCCGCGCATATCTGCCAGTGGCCGATCAAATCATAAACCCTTTCGTTTCCCCCTCACAGCCTATCACTTCCATCTACATCTACACTCACCCGCCTAATCATTCTCTCCATACTCTCCTTTTCATCTTCCCTCTCCCTCTCTTTTCCTCCACTCTCATCGCTAGTACTCTCTCCACCACTTCTCTCAACACTCACCTCAAACTCCCTCGTTATCCCCGATTGTTTATCCATTGTATCCATCTGATGATCCATTGTTGTAAGAGTCAACGAATTCTTCTTCCTCAATTTTCCGATCCTTCGCTTTCTAGATTCGAGATTCACTTCTGGATCGGGTGTTTGACGGGGATCGTCAGATATGAGGTGTGACGAGAAGAGACCGGGAAAGTATTGACGGATGAAAGGACGGAGAACGACAAGTGTGTTGCAGAAAATGCCGATGTTTATTTCTACAGATCTGGTTTGTAGTTTGGGTTAGTTAGTCTTTGAAGTTTTTTTGTGCGGGAAGTCAAAAATTAGACGCATGCGGATCAAGGAAGAATAGCAAAGAAAGAGGGCGACAAACGACCATACTGCTGCTCTGCCTTGAGTGTATAGTACATCTGGATTATTTTGAAGCGCCATGATGTATGTTATACGGACTATACATATGATTATCACACTATCAATAATAATGTCAGCAGAGCTTCCAAATGCAAGTGAAAGAGCTTCCTCAAATAGTGTTTGAGGAGCAAGAAGAAGAATTGAACATACAAAATACCCGCCGAAAAAATCGATGCAACCGCCAATTTCTGCCTCAACGGCAACTTCAAAAGATACAGCATATGTGATGGAAGTATAAGAATGGCTGCATCTGTAAGAATGTTGAAGATTGCTTGCCAGAGCCCACATTTGTTGAGACATGCACCATTTGCGGGGTTCGTGGGAATGCATGGGATAGCTATTATTAGAGATATGGCGAGAGTGTAGGTTAGAATTATCCCGGCAACAAGACAACAACCTATGCGGAAGTAGTTGCTTGGATTGAGTCGATAAAGACTGGAGAGTAATTAGTTCACCGATTTTTTTACATTGCTTAGCGAAGAAACTTACAGGATGAGAATGGATAATTTGGTGAATGCGGGGGCCCAAGCGTAGGTAGCTACCATAGGGCTGAGTTTCTAGGTCGGTAAGTAAAAGATGGGGTGTGAATTGAGAGGCATTGACTAACTGTAAGATAGAGCGCCATCTGTTCAGCAGTAACTTCCCATAGATGTCTACCAAATCCATATCTCATGCCTATTCATCAATTAGCATGGCTACTCTACTCTCCATGAATTGGTCCATCACTCACAATCGACACTGATAGCAAAATATGCAATTGAACATGCATATGCAAGAATAATCACAACTATATCCCAGATCAGCATCCTCGTCGTCCGCTGTAGACGAAAAACCTACCATCGTCCAAACCAAAAGAGTTCATGATACTAATCCTTGTGTACAATCGGATAGCAAGAGTACTACTAGCCAGAGCAAGTGTGATGGTGTATGCAATAATGAAAGCCACCTGGGTACTTGACAGAGCAGATGGATTTAAATCTGGTGTTATACCAGGGGGCGCTGGAAGGAGTCCGGTTGACATATTTACTCTTCGTGCTTTGAATCTCGCTTGAAAGATTGTTCATACTCGATGAAGGGTCGAGTCAAAGCAGGATATATTCTTGACTATATGTCAGAACAAGAAACGATTTCGGTTCTTGATCATCATTGTCGGCATCCCGTATTCGGCCAACATTTTCCAATAGATGATAGTCTAATGGTCGAATACAGAGTATACTGCTTTTTCCAAAAAAGAATTCGAGAGCTTGTGAGACCTGGGACTCGGCAGGCAAATGATGACATGGGTTGTAGCTGGAATTGTATGTATGATTGGCACGATGTGGAGCTCATATTTCCCTCCTGCATAACCTAAGGTATCGGGAAATGATTTCACGAATTTTACTATATCAATAGTCATTGATGCTAGTTGAATGAAAACGAGCTGAATTGCAAGAAGAAAAAGAACAATGATTTTTAGACTGTGCAACGGCCGGATAGATCATGATCAAAAATAGTCAGACCCCACTGGCTCGTCGTCATGTAAAGAAAAGAAAAGAAAAGAAAAGAAAAGAAAAGAAAAGAAAAGAGAAGAAAAGGTCACGACTCATAACGCTCTTCCATACGGAAGAGAGCCTACTGTCAACGTGCATGCTTATGTGCATATTCTCCACCTTCCTTTTCCGGACGACATATCTCGAGGTCCAAGTTATCGCTGCATGATTGATTTTTCCCTCTCTTTTGCTTTTCGTCGTTGCAAACTGCCAACGAGGTTGTTAGTTGGAGAAAACCGTCACCAATAGCAACAATGTCGACCTTGTACATCACAGCCGTTGCAGCTGGTGCATTCTTCCACAATATCGTAAGGAATAGGGAATTCGATCGTCATCCATTCTCCATTCTTTTTGTGGTCATAGCATCCCACATTATCCTCTCGATACTACTTCAATATGAGAACGATGCCGATGTCGTGACATTCTGGCAAGCTCAAAGACTTGCCTCTGGCCTTATCGCGACGACCGTTCTTTCGCTATGGACAAATATCCTTATTTATCGAGCCATTTTTCATCCCTTGCGAAATTTCCCCGGTCCATTTGGTGCTCGACTCTCCAAATTTTGGAGTTTGGGAAAAGTTATCGAATCGAAAGTTAGGTGGTACCAAGTTGCTGGACAATTGAAGGAGGAGTATGGGGATTATGTCAGGACAGGTAATGAGATCCAAAAGAAGTAACTTGTCTGATACATCCAAAGTTAATTAAATGTCAAGGACCTCGCGAACTCATAATTTTCGATCCTGCAGCCATCAGTGTGATTCTTGGCGCTTCATCTAAGTTGCATAAAGGACCATTCTATGGCTCGACATCCCCAGAATCTCTGCATACGACGAGAGACTCGGACTTCCACAGAAAAAGAAGAAAGATTTGGGATTTGGCCTTTAAACAATGTATTTGGATTCTCCACTTTTATTCTTCGAATGTCATGTGACTGATAATCAAACTCCAGCTCTCACTGATTATGGACCCCGCGTTGCAGAGTTCACTACATCGTTTCTTGCTCGTCTGTCAAAAGGTGGTGGAGATCCATTAGTGATTAATGAGTTATGTGTTCAATACAGTTACGATGTGATGAGTGCATTGGCATTTGGTATTCACACTGAATTCTTGAATGGGAAGGAAACAGCAGCAGCCAAGAAAGTTCTCGATAATATTCAATCTGGTATCTCTGCTCTTGGAGCGGTAGTTCATATTCCATGGATGTTCACAGTTATTGACGTGCTAAGTTTTCTTGGGGGACCAATGAAGGAATTCAACGATTGGTCGGCTTCTCAGGTGGAGGCACGAAGAGATGTTTGATTTCCAGATCCTCCCTTTCAAATACAGATAGGCTAATGATTCGATAGATGAAGAACCCCAAGCCAGATATAGTAGGCCATCTGATACAGCATACGGAAAATACTCCTGCTGGACGCGCTCTCCTCAACGGCGATTCTCGCGTAATCATTGGAGCAGGCAGTGATACTACTGCATCAGCCCTTACAGTAATATTCATTCATCTTGCCCATTACCCAGAATATCAAGCTCGACTTTTTGAAGAGTTAAGACCAATGTTCGAAGATAGTACATATATTAATGGAGCATCAACTTCATTACTTGATGGTATCATTCAAGAAGTACTAAGATTGTACGCTCCTGTGACATTTAACTCTCAGAGAGTCACTCCCAAGGGAGGGCTGACTATTGGAACGGTATATATACCTGGTGATACAATCGTTAGTATTGCAACCTGGCAACTTCACCGTGGTGAGTATTTCTTTCGAAAATCCGCGTTTACTTCTTTCTGCTCTCTCAATGCTGAACTTCTAACTTTCAATTCTAGATCCTCGCAACTTTAAGGATCCAAACGAATTCATTCCGGAGCGTTGGACGACGCGTCCGGATCTCATCATTAATAAGTCAGCATACTTACCGTTTTCTATGGGTGCATATAATTGCATCGGGAAAGGTCTCGCAATGATGGAAATGCGTTCTGTGATTGGGAGATCGATAGCTGAGTATGAGGTAATGTTTCCGAAGAATGTGAAGTTTGATGAGGAGAAGTTCTTTGGTAATGTTAGGGATCATTTTACAAGTGGAATTCCAAGGTGTGAGTTGGTTTTCAAGCGGAGATGAGAGCGAAATGAGTAGATGAAGCGATTGCTTTACTAATGGAAGATATTGAGGCGATGAGAGGGGTAGGGGATGAAAGATGGATCTGTACATTCATTAGGCCATTGGGCTCATTGGCACCTGTGATCCTCTGATATTTATCTAGATGGAGACTCTTCGAAAGTTACTAGAACTGCCTCATGAGAACCGAATTTGTCTGGGCTCAATTGAATCGAATATGATCCCCTATCGGTCGAGTCTATTTTATCTATAAAATTCAGAAACTTTTCATATACACTGGCTACCCCAAAAACATAAGTTCAGTACCCCACTTTTCGGCCACCCCACTTTTCGGCCACCTCATAAAATATATATATACAGTTTTTAAACTTCAATAATTCAACAACTATCCAACTACAATATAATCTTCTGTAGTATCAGTTTCATATATACTATTGGAGTCCACCCTATCAATTTCACGATTACCAGCTTCGATTTGAGCCTGGTATATAACCTTAATCCCAGAAAACTTCGAATTTGAGCTAGTGTTAATCTTCCTCTTTTTTTTAGGTATAATATATTCTAATTTGTGTTCTAATTCCTTTATTTGATGCTTAAACTTTATAATTTCATAATCCTTAATATCAAATACTTTTTGAATCTTTTGAAAGAGTAATCGATAAGTGTATAAGTCTGTTTCTTTTTCAGATTCCAATATTAATATATATTTTCATAGATTATTTGCTTTTTGTGGCGTTTCCTATTGAATCAAAAATGAATCTATATTCCATTAAAGTATAAAATCATTATTTGAAATCGAATTCAAACTTTGAACTTCTTTATTGCTATTTTCAAGCAATAATCTGGATAAAAGAGGCTTAACGCGGTTTTGAGGCTATAAATTTGAAGCTCTTCATCCTAAAGTGATATTATTTAGAGTTAAATTCTTTAATCTTACTTTCTAATAGTATATAAGAAAATTCCTTTTGCCTATAAATGTAGAATCAAATAGTGAACCTAATTTATTAAGCTCATATTAGTATTCATATTTCAGAGAAGAGAATATCGATAAATCAAAAGGTTATAGTATATATAATGTATATAGAGAAAGGAACAAAAGGTGTATATTGTTTTTGAAGCACTTAAGTATAAATTGAATAGTTTCGTGGCTTCCATGCTTATTCAAAACAAGCAATCTAGCCTCTTTTGAGTCAGAAGGGATGGTTTGAGGAATAAAGACCTCTTTTAGCTATACTAAACCTGTTTCATTGATAATCTATTCATTTTCTATAGCATGGAACTTCCAATCCTTATATATATCAAGCTTAATAGAGAATCATTATTATTGAATACTTTTATTCTTATATATAATAAGGAGTAGTAATGCTTTTCCTATAGTAAAGATACACTCAATAAAAGAGATCCAACTTCTTGTGCCAAGCTGCTTCTTTTGAATAAAGCATCTCTCAACACTCTTAAGTATTATACCATTCAAGCCCTAGCCTTCTATAATACCAGCTTCATCCATATTCCATTTGTTTTCCAATTTAATATGAATAATAGCCAGCAAATTCAACGTTTCGAAGAACTTACTAATAATTTCGATAGTAGTATCTGAAACACATTAATTATCGATTCTGATTTGTCTTTTGATTCGAATTTCAGGGTTTCTAAGTAGAAAATTGTGTATCCATTATTTTCCAAGTGTAGATTTATTCCCTTTCACCTCAAAAAAGGTTTTGTTAATTTCTTATATCTATTAATATATAGGATTAATGCCCAAAGCCTCTTGAACTAATATTCATTCAACTAATACTTTCTTTTATATCGAAACTATCTTTTATATATTTTAAATACCTTTTTAATAGAAAAAATAACCTTTTATACAATATTAAAGAATAATACAAAGTATTCTATAATTCAAACCAGCTTTTCTGATAATCATACCTCCTATTATAACACTAAATGCTATAGCAATATTATCTTCAATATAACCACTACTCATAATATAATTGACAATATATCAAATTTTTAAATCAATTGATTCAATAGTTATTGAATCATTAAAGATTGAAGAGAGGTGGTTGGTTAGAGTGGTGAGATTTATGAGGTGGCCGAAAAGTGGGGTGGCCGAAAAGTGGGGGTACTGAACTTACATGAAAAGAATTCAAGGTCTTACAACTCTCGAACTTTCAAACTTTTCTTTCTATCACCGTGGACTCCGTGATGTTACTCTTAGCTGGGCTCTCCCCCCTTTCCCAATCCCCTTCCTGCTTCTTCTTCTTCTTCTTCTTCTTCTTCTTCTTCTTCTTCTTCTTCTTCTTCTTCTTTACAATTCCCCATCTTAATCCAAAGCTGCACAAAAACGCTGCACTTGATCCTCCAGCTGTAAGGTACTAACACATGATCCATCAGCAAATCATCCACATCCATCACTCATGCCGAAATACTCCCCTCACATTCACCTAGAAAGCAAAAGCCAGCGGGCTTAAAGAAGGAACGCCTCACAAAACATCTGATCAAGCTCTCACTATATGCTATTAGTACACTCTCCAACTCCGCGCCTGTCACCAAAGCTCTCGATCTCGTAGCACCACCTACCTGGATGGCTTCTGTGTCGATATTTGGTACATATATATTTAATTCCTTCGTCAAAGAATTTGTAAGAATTCTTGAGGCGAAGGATAGAAAGATTGCGCTACCAAAGTATCCCGAAAAGGTAGCGAGGGAGGAGCCGATCGCGATTTCTGTGGCGGGAAGAGAATTTTGGATTGCAGTTATGGGCTAATAGATTTCTAATAATTGCTTAAAGACGATGTAGGAAGAAAGATGAGATCTTGAGTGTATAGATGAGATATCAGTAAGAGATGGATGTATGCATACCATTTGTGAAACCATTCCTCTTCCAGCGCCAACGAAGATCTAAAATCCAATCCATTCACCGGCCCCAGTATTGACTTTAAACAAACTCATGTAACCAGATCCGATAGCTGAACACATACAGCCTATAATCACCCAAGGGGTGAAAGATCCAGGTCGAGAAACCTTTGCACATCAGTTATATCTCTCACAACTGTTTTAAATAAGACAACAGAGGATAGAAGATACCCAAACTCCCCGCTATGATTGAGCACGCTATAGTCGCCAAAAAAGTCGGCAGCGTTCTCACCCCACTCTCTGTTGGCGTAACCCTTTTGATAGTCTGGAATCAAACCGGTAAATAATACGAGATTACGATCAAACCTCTTTGATTAAGCATTTCAGTCAAACATCCACTATACACTAATCTCTTTCTCAACATATCAAGTAGTATCATTGCGTTTTCTCCGAGTTTGAATTCCCAGTATAGGAATAAGAGAATAAGAATAAAAGAATTGCAAAAGAGATTTGATGATAGTAGCTGATGACCACGGATAGGAAGAGCCGCCCCACTCGAGAACGAGAAGAAATGATATGATGGTGGGTGTGGAGAGGATAAAACCACATTGATCGAGGTGGAGGAATTTCTCTTTTGAAGACAATGAAGTAAGAATAGGGTTGTGGATGCTGGGGATATGAATGAGGAAGATGACGAGAGCGGTTTGGAAACCGGTGGGGAGATTGAGGAAGAAGCCTGGAAATGTTAGGGTTATTTTGATTCTGTAATAATTAGGGATATGCGTACACCACTAGAATTTCGTTAGGAAGGTTTCATAGGAAGGGACATTGGATTTGCTCACTCTCCAAGAAGCATGCTGAGTCAATACACCACCAATGAGGGGTCCGATAACCTGTCCAATAGATGCAGTTGAGATTATTATACCAATAAGAACTCGCATATAGGTTAGAACAAACTATAAACTTCGGGGGTAGAATACTAAAATACTTAGTCGTTTTGATATATGAGCAGCAGCCGCAAGAATCGTAAGAGCCCCATTAAGAATACCAGATCTACCATATACCTGAATTACCTCTCCTGCAATCAACATATCTGATCTTTTGATAGACCGTAGATTAATGTACCCAATTCGAACATTGCAAGGAAACAAAGGAATGTATACTAGACTATCAATAAGCCGAACATTGTGAGGGGTTGCAAGACTTACTTTGAGCGAGAAGAAGGTATAAAGTTTGCCACTTAGTGGTTGCATAGTGCAGCTTGGCGCAAGAATCAATACTGTGGCTCTCTTTCATGATTCATGATGATGCAAACTGACTTTGAAAGTAAATAGGCACTTCCGTACCACCCTGTGAATATTAATGTTCAGTCGGGAGAGTGAAGGAGACAGGCACGGCAGCTTACCTATATCTTTCACATAATGAAACTCGCTTGTAGTGCGTGGTATAGTCTAGTATAAAGTCTAGCAAAGAGAAATATGGAGTATACAAACTTTTCACAAAAAGTTGCCAGGACCGATGAACTTAATGTCATGAGGAGACAAGCCAGAGTCAAAGAAAATACAATCAAAAGGAGATTCGTACCCGTAACTTATTGCTGCTGGATCGTATCTAAGTCCTCTTCATCAATTTTGATAACAATCGAACCAGTAGAAATTGTTTTAGGGACACCTCCTTTCTCAATTGACTTTCGATGTGAGATGTCTCGATTTGGCGAATCTTGAGTGACCATATTGGCGTAGAGAAAGAACCTCCAAGATAACGAAATGGCATACTGTGATATAGGATGCAGCTGCTTTAAGTGATTGGGTGCATGTCATATTTTGGGCCGAACGGGGGCGGCGTGATTACATTTCGCCGTTATCTTGCGACGGGATTGACCCCTCAAATCCCATATCTGATACCACACTGGGCTTTTGAACAAAATACTGCACACTCCCCGCCAGTGCGTCTATTTTTCTCATGGATATTAGAAGAAATTTATAGTTCCGACTCAGCGGACGGTCGTTCGTGCTGTGATATGTGGATAGGTGGTATGTTCATAACTATTGAAAACATGATGAAGAGAGCTCAATTGTATAGTTTGCATCAAAACAGATCGCTATGTATATGCACTGAGTCACGTCAATAACATATTAATGATCTAATCAACGCGTTGGTGGAAAACAATTTGAAGTCATGTTTATTATTATTGTGCCACATGAGCTATCAGGGACAAAAAAATATCGCTAGCTTACCCTCTCTAGAATCAAATTTTTTGGTTTGAGTATAAGATTCATAATTGCGCAAAGTAATGGATATCAATTATCGATAAGTGTAGTGTTTCTGCTCTTATCCTCAACATGCTGAATACCGTGTGGATGGTTAAGAGTTGCCAAAAAAAAAAGTCTTTATAATTTTGGTCAATGTCATGCTCCGTCATAAGGACTGGCGGGCTGTGGAGACCAATCTGCTTCCAACACACAATTGATATCAGCCAATCCATTGATAAGTTACTCTTTTCACATTACTTCTGATTTACTATAGTAATTCAAGAAATACAAATTTCTACTCAATATTAAAAGTTCAAAGAAATTCCCCATCGCCAAAAGCATCTAATATCACAATCACAATTTATTTTAGACACGCTTAAGCACTCTCCCTTTCACTTTCAATATCGTTTGAAAGAATCGGCACCTGCCTTATCCAAATGCGGAATGAAATGTTATAATGTTTTCTTTATAGGCTGTACTAACAAACGAAGCCCTCGCGAAATAAAGGGGTGTCCGGGAGCCCAACAAAGAGCCGGAATGAATACAAAATCTTGGTTCTTAACAACCTATGAAAAAATATGCTTTGGGTTATGACAACTTGATATTGACTCAGTGAAGACTGTTTATCTACGAGCAATTTATTTTTACACACAAATTGGACGATAATCTACACACAAGATGGGGGCCAAAAAGCCACCAAAGGTACCGAAGGTACCAGGAGTGCCAAATTCATTCTTCGGTCCGGCGGGGCCCGCAGTTCCATCGCCAGTACCAGCGCTATCAGCGGAAGATCAAGCAGCAGCAGATCAAGCGGCGGCAGACCTCCTAGCGCAACGGCTAATAGAAGAAGATATGGCCAAGGAAGAAAAAGCAGCGGCAGATGCGTTAGCGGCATCTAAAGCAGCGGCAGATCTAGCAGCGGGTAAAAAACCTCCTGCACAACCGCCGTTCGAAGCTGCACCAGACATTCAAGATGATCCTGTTGCATTGGCTGCCAGATTGGCTCCTGCACGCGTGAGAATTTCGGATGTAGGAAGATGGAACTTATTACCCACACTGGGCGCCGGGCTCCACCCAGTATCAACGTCTGGTGCAGGCCTTTTGTGTGCCATGTATGCTATGACTCTCAGTTACAGCGCCGCGCGAGATCTTGCGGCCCCCGTGGGCACACCTGTTCCATTAAGAGACAATCCAACCGCCGAGGAGTTGATAGAATTTGTGGGAACCGACGAATTCTGGGCCGAGGCGGTAGAATATATGAAAGAGGCTGATATGGTTGATTTTTTTAATGCTGCTACAGGAGAACCGCTTTCTAGTAAGGAGATACTAAGACTAACCAAGTTGTATATATCAGACGAGCCAAGAAATTACAACATAACTACACTCTTTCCGATCCTCAGATGGCTGAACCGCAAATACGGAACGCATTACGTTATCGGGAGTTTTGTTCACGGATTCAATGTTAGATGGGATATCAAAAATAAAATCTGGGAGGTAGATTACCAGGACCCAACGCAGGATCGAGATATGGGAAGAGGGGTCAACCCATATTTGTGGCTTTGGAACGACAATGCAGAGAGTGAAACAAGATCGCTTCATAATGGTGATGAGGCTATAAGCCACTGGATGGGGTTTTCAAGTACGTTACCAGCCTATATTTCCACTCTCCTTCCGTACCCGATGGCATTTTCTCATCTAAGTTCTATATCGGTTCTTTCTCGAATGAACTTTTCATTTTCAAATTCAGCCTTGAATCCCTAATGTCACAAAAGTTGTCCCTTGAAATGGAGTTACTAATTTTCATGCTTCATAACAGCATTGCACAGAAATCTAGATCAAGATTTAATCGATGAATCTGAAGCGTGGTTTGGAAATGAGGTTGACGCTTATCTAGAGGAAGGTGTTTGGATAGTTACGGCCGATGTTGAAGGATACCAAGCGGACCTTGAAGATCACCAAGATCCTAGAGAGCTTAGATTGTTTACTGGTCATTTTGTTAGGGAGCCAACGATAGCTCCAATTGAAGATGCCCCGGATGGTTACATGTGGGTACAAGGAGGCCCATTTTGGGACGGAATTCTGAACGAAGGACTGGTTGGAATCGTTCCAATGAATAGTATAAAGAGGATCACGAAAGACGTTCTCAGAATTGCACATGATGCTGCTGGCGCAACTGTTGCCAATATAATTAAGAACTCTAGCGTTAAAAAAACCGATAAGGGTCTATGGCAAGATTTCTTGGTCCACCGTGCCATTGAGCCGACCACGAAGATCGGTGCAAAATACGCCAATCCAAATAACCCAGCAAAGAAGTTTGTTGCAGGTTTCGCATTCGAAGATGGCGAATTTCTGGTTGACACACAAGAACCACTCAGATATCTACGCCCTCGCATGATAAAATTGGATGGAACGAGAGGAAGAGTCAAACCTCGTAACCTTCAGTACTTGGAAAGGGCATGGAGGCTACCCGAGGTGCTCCCCATTCCAGCCTCAGGTACCAAGAAGATACCAACCACTTCAGCGCCGCCTGGTAAAAAAAACCTTTTAGGCACATCCAATAAATCAGATCCTAAATACAGATATAGACCTACCATGAAAGCAGAAGACTTTAAGATAGCGGACCTAAGAAACCACTGCAAAGCTCGAGGCATGGTCGCCAAAGATTATGGGAGGAAGAAGGTCACGATGTTGGCTAAGCTTATCGAGCACGATGAAAAGAACGATAATGCTGTCCGACCCACGGGGAATCAGCCGGCTAAACCAGCTGATTCTAGCCACTTCCTACCTATGAGACGTGTCATGGTAGATATCGCAAAAGACGCCGGCCCACCTAAAATGCCTCCATTTTTCGCAACAGAAATAGTAGTGGAGTTGGGTAAAGGTGACATTGTCAATCCTGCGACTTGGATAATCGATTATGAAGGTCATGTTGGCAGGATTGATGATGATAATCTTGAGCCAATAGAGAGAGCTTGGGGGATAGAACTTGATCCAATCAGGTGGAATCTGGCTTTAGATGCGATGAAAAAGGAAGTGGGCTATGATAAGCCTCCCAAGCCCGCAGGTAAACCTGCAAGCAAGCCTCTCGACCCTAACGCTAATCCTGCCGCCAACCCTGCAGTCAAAACTGCCGCCAAACCTGCAGCAAAACCTGTAGCCAAGCCTGCAACCAAGCCCGCCGGCAAGAAAGTGGCTTTTGAAAATCCTCCATCTCCAGGCTCTGCAGCTCCAGGTGTTCCGGCTCCAAATTCCCCAGCTGGAAAGACGGTAGGAAAAAGACCTGCTTCTTCCTCTGCGGAGCCTGCCAACAGAAAGACAAAGAAGAAGAAGAAGAAGTGAGTGGCAGCGGCAGCGGCAGCTACAGCCAATACAACGAAGAACTATCTGTAGCTTCCGCTATCGGTGCCAACTCCGTTTCTAGAGCCTCTCCACAAATACACCCTGGCGAAATGGCCGGGTTCTTTCAGCTATCAATAAACCACGGGGTAGCTCGGGAAAGCGAATATGGACTGGCGAATAAGAAAGCTTTCATGGGAGGGAATCTGAAAATTGTGTTGCTTGTGTATTGATATAGTGAGAATTTTTGAAATGCTAGAGTTTTATCTCTCATAGTAATATTTGATATTTGACCTGCAGCTATGCATGTAATCTGATGATTAGAAATGAATGAGATGACAAGTAGAACGCCTACGGCGGACAATGAGATGAAAGTCAATCGATTGAACTGCTGGAAAGGCTTTTGTTTCTGAACTTTCATTATGTTTAGTCAAACATCATGAGATACAGATACGCAGACCTGTATACCTAAGTAACTTATTATAAGCTCATGGAGTTAGGTATGTAACAAAATAATGTGAAGCAGTGAATGCTAAATTCAAGAGGTGAGGAGATGAGGAGATGATTAGATACCTAGATCAGCACTTGGACCAACCATTAACAAACAAAAATTCAAAGATCACCTGACATTTGATTCAACTTCTCGACTTGACATCTTTTCTTCCTCTTCTGATCATTTCCATCTCTTGTAATTATTCTTTTTCATAGTCTTCATGTCTTTGATACAAGCAAAAAAAGGCTATTTGAAAGCACACTTCATCCAGAGGTAGAATCGTCTGTTTCTTCTGTCTGTAGAGACGACTACCTACTGAGATACCAATATCAATTTCGTTGATAATCGAGATTATCGAGATTGGCTGGGTAACGGTCTATTCCTCTTGGTCAACAAAACAAGATGAGACTAATACTCACTGGAAGAAGTATACATATAAGGTTATCGATATAAGCTAGGATTCTGCAAGCCAATTGCAAATATCAAGTTCGGGATGTTTTGAACATCCCGGAAAGTGCTCACCAATATCGAAAAAGTAATCAATGGCACAGCTCTTCCATTAATATACAGAACGAGGTGCCTCAGTACCTACCATCAAGGGTCTAGTTGCATAGAGACCCCACTTAATCTTACAGAGTATACTTATCTTTGACTCCAGAGATCTTACTTCAAGTCAGAATCATCAAAGTAGCAGAGATCGAAACATGTCTTCCAGATCTACTCTCATCTTCAAAAGTATCGATGACCTCGACCTTAAAGTCGACATCATTTATCCATCTTCTCTCACTGGACTGGAGCAGTCTCAACAGCAGTACTTTACCTCCACGGTGGGGGCCTTACTGGTTTCGATCGAGAACATATTCCTCCTCATATCGCTCGACCCTGTCTACTTCGGAATTGGCTCATTATTAGCGCAGATTGTCGTCTCCTGCCTCAAGCTAGTGCCCAAGATATGTTGGAAGATGTGATATCCGCATACGACTTTGCACACAAAAGGCTCCGGGAGCTTCTTAATTTTAAGAAACTCGAGAATTAGAGAGTTGATATCATTCTCATGGGTTCAAGCGCTGGTTTGTACTTCTGGATTATCGATCGGTATGACTTAAGACTCTGGACTGAAATTTCCTAGGTGCTTATCTATCATACATTTCCAAACCCCATCTCTCACCTCCACCAGTGGCAGTCTTTATATACTATGGCTGCCCAACCTTCCACGATCCCAAAAACCATTTCTCCAACAGCAAAACTCTTTTCAACGAAACCCCCTACCCTGAACCTCGATTTGCGTATTTCCTCGCAAGCCCCCCAAGCATTAACCCAACACCTTCTTTCTTCCTAATATTCAATCCATCCTCTCTTCTTTCGAACTTTTCTCGTGATCCTGCATACAAACCTCTGCCTAAGGGTGAATTTGAAGACCGTTCTTCACTATTCTTATGGTTAGTCCAAGAGAACAAATTATCTGAGTTGTGGAAGAGCGTTGATCAGGGGTTGGAAAGTGAGGTTTGGATAGGGTTTGGCAAGACGATTATCGTGTATGGAGATCAGGATGAATTGATTCCATACTACATGGCAAAACAAGGTGTTGATGTTATTGGTAGAAATACCTTCAAAAATCCAAAGTAGATCTGTGCTGATAGTATTTAGGACTGCATGATGCTCAATTGTTTACTGCAATCGGCAGGAAGCATGGTTGGGATATGCCCTTGTTTCTTGGAGATCCAGGGTTAAAAGAAATTGAAGAGGCTTTGGAAGCTTTGGATGAAATCATTTTTAAATCTCAAGGAGGGCCTTTGTCTTGAGACCGACCTCAATATTTCGTAAACGTCAATAAAAAGCGGAAGGCAGTGTTTCTGTACGGGGAATTGATAAAATAAGAGTAAAGACAAGGATGTAAACTAAATCCTTGACGCTCAAATTATCACTCATTAATCTGAGCCATACAAGGTCTCCATGACGCAAAACTCCTTTGCAACACGAAACCTCATTTTGATGGGTAATTTAGCAACACGCAAGGAAATTAACAAGCACTTTTTAGGTTCACCTACTCCAGCTAAGCTATCAACAACACCTTTTCACACAAGATAGATCAACAATAACCGGACGAAGTGGCTCACGAACCAACTATATCTACCATCGAAGCTTGCGTTGGATCCGGTCATGAATAGAAAAGCACCCGAAGCAAGGAATGCAGAAGGCTCGCTGGTAGGATTATCAGGAAAGTCTTTTCTTGTTGGTAAGAAGCACAGTTAAGCCGCAAGAGTCCAGCAATTAGGCTATCAAATTTCAACGATTTCGACCTTGCACAGGCTGACGGGAGTACTGTTGCAGGTAAACTCATCACAACCATATCTTGTGTTTTTGTGTTGACCACGAGTGATGGTAATTGTGAAGAGCGCTAAGTGGCGGTCATCACCCATGTGACTCTCCCTTGAATAGTCCTACATGAGCTTTTATGTTTTTATGACCTCGGCATCGAGTTCCTTGAGCCTTGAGCCTTGAGACTTCCTTCTTGATGGGACTAGAGCGGCCTTAGCATGTTCTGGTGTCGTCTTAGGCACTTTTAACCTCCAACAGAGCAAGAACCGAAAGAGAGCAACAAATCAGTGGATTTGGGGTTGAGGTGTTTTTTGAGGTCTGCGTGCTCTTTTTCAGTTTTCGCTCTGTTGGGTGTTTATCGATTGTGGGGCCTTTATCGCTAGCAGTCGTAGGGAGAGTCGGATTGAGATTGTCAGTGCGCGTGCGACCAGGCGATAGATTAGAGAGGGAGTGCGGTTTCCTCTTAGTAAAAAGAAGTTTAGGATATCGTCTCCGTCGAAATTTGTACTGCGCCCTCTGACTTATTGAGGGGCAGAGCATTTAAAGTTCTGCAATGTCCCACTTGTTTGCGCTTTGTGTAAGCGGAGTGGCAACATCTTCAAGTCTCTGAATGGAAGCCGTTCCTTGATCTCAAGTGGAGCGATGGCCCCTCAATGATGGTTAAATGAAACATTTTAGCTGTCCGTCGTTTCATTGTAGACTGGATACATTTGACCAGCTTCCTGATGATAGCTGGGAGTGCTCTCGCAGCGACCGTTACCTGAACGACATTTTTGCTTAAGCAAGGTCAGCGGGTGGAGGAAGCTGTTATCCGGATGCCATATGTACACTTTTCATCGCTGGTAGTCGTAGAAACAGCACCAAAGTATCTTCGAACTCAACAGAATCACAGAACGTCCTTCTGTATTGTTTGAGAATGGTATGTCTCTCAAGCCAGAGGATTCTCCTTCCGTTGAGTTCATTTTCTTTCAACTGTAGCTCCCACGGTGTGGCGGTCGATCAGTGTCACGTCGTCTTAAAATCTGCGCAGAATCTTACTATATGGATAATTGAGATTAGTCGTTGTACCTTTTTAAGAAGGAATCAAGAATGATGGCTACTTACACTTCTTATTGTCTCGCTGTTCAAGTTATTTCGCAGGTTTGAGTGGGGAGGGCGCTACATATTGTTGTCGGCAGCCCTCTCCAGGGTATTTGCTATCACCAATGGCGTCATAAGCAAAGTCGTGTAGCTGTTCCGCGAGGACCACGACGGAGGCCGAAGCTTTGACACGGCTATTTTTCTCTTGGATTGGAGATACTGGACCTCTCTTGTCGCGTTGAGTACGAGACTCCTCCATTGCGGCGAGCGAAGCTTTCGAAAAGTAATTCGTAAGCAAAGTCGTGTAGCTTCTTGGTCGCTGACTTGACCAATTAGTTACAACTGAATAATATCCGTAATCAGTACCCTCGAAAATATTGGTGATATTTTGAACCTACTGAAAAAGACTGAGCAGAGACAGTCGCATTTTCTGCGATTATCTGCGGGCTTCCGTTGGACTTGATGCACCCGGGAGCAAAGGGGCCAAAAGCATTGACGGCGGCATATAGTCCTGGAGTTTACTTCCATCAATAAAATCTTCTCGGAACCGTCGCAGGAAACCACTGCAAAAAGGTTAACAAATATGGCGTGAAAATATTTCGCGTGGATTCAAGCTTTCTGGGATTATACCTACCAACACAGCAAAAATACAAGCACGATCACAAAAAATCACTAACACCACCACAATCACCATGCACGCCGAGGCGGCTAAGGTGAACGAAATATATTATTATTTAATAAACTAATATACAAAACTATGACAACAAAACAGAGTATGCCAAGTTACAACGCGACTTGGTAACAGACCCATACACGAATTTGTTGTTGAACTAAGTCGCATTGCGACTTGGCATACTCCTTGCATCGGGATTGCAAGTTAAATGCCTCAGTGGCTTGCTGGTGTTAATCGTGGCACCTTGGTGGCCTTGAAATTGACTGATCCGCAGGAGATAACTCTCGATGTATGTGCGAACACTAGGCGAGACGCCGTCGGTGATGCACATGTTTGCACCGCCGTCTCCAATATTGCTGGTGTTGGTTGTGGAAGAAACCTAAGTTCGTGGTTCCTGGCTCTTGCTTTGAACCATAACTTCGGCATTCTTGGGGTCAAGCCCAAGTTCCCCATTGTATGCTCTTGCATACCATTGCCTCCCCGGACAGGTTGGCATGCTGGTGTTAATCGTGGTAAAGCTTAAGTTCGTGGTTCCTGGCTCTTGCATACCATCTGAGATCCTCTAGGCCGGAACCCATAACTTTGGCAGTCTTAGGGTCAAGCCCAAGAAGTCTACAAGAAGGTGGCGTGCTGGTGTTGATCGTGGTAAAATTCCAAGTTCGCGTCGAGGCTCTCGTATGTCATCATCAGCTTCGGAGTTTACCACCGTCTAGGATTTGAGAGAAGTTATCTCATTCCTGAGACGTGAGCGTGTATTGTTCAGCACCCCTGAGAGTGTCTCAAGGAACTGCGAACCATCAAGATTCATACATGAAAGGTTTCATGCCAATGGTATAAACAGCCGCGGAACTTGAATTTGCGAAAGACGAGCTTGATCATTCTAGGTTGATAATTTGGAAATCTTGCAACTTGATGAGAAACGAGTCCATTTCTTGCGAGCTACTGCAACTACCGTGACAATCTTGCCCACTGACTTGTGTGGTGTGGACTTCACTTCAAGATTGAGCCATTTGAGTCGGTTCACTCCCATGGATGAACCAACGGAGGAGCTTCATCTCGCAGTGTTGGTATTCAGAATCTTACGCAAGAATTTGGAGCGCTACTAGTAGTGTCAGAAATGGTTTGCTCATGATAACAGATGAATGGCTTACAGTTCGGGGAATTTGGACCGCGGGGTCTTCGAAGACGGCGCCAGCTGTAATCTTTCTAGGATCGCTGAAACAGCAGTACACAGTTCAATCTTGATCGTGGTCCATCTTCCCAAAATGGAGACGAGAAGCTCGGAAGACTAAGATCGATCTGCAGAAAAGAGCCGTTAGCAAAGGTTGAAAAAAGATGATGGAAGATCTCGACATACCTGGGGCATACTGACTTTAAGACCAACACCTTGGAGTCTTCCCACCTCACAATCACAGCTCTGAGAATTCACATCGACAGAGGCACGTCCGGAGACGGCTAGAGAGAAAAGAATTTATTATTACATAGCACTAATAACTAATACACTGTCTATCACCACCGATCTTTATCCAAATGAAACCGCCATCTTTATTTCCACCATGCTCTTCTGGTTGGTGTAATATCTAATGGTGAGGTTAGTCTTCACTCTGATTGTGATGTTTATGGAAGGACAACTTACTTGTTCAGAATGTTAGCAAGAACCATAGCCGGTGGTACTTGAATGCTGCTGCTACTTAGGTTGAAGTTTCCTGGGTGGTGCTATCGAGTTGCTCCGGGACTGACGTCGAGAAGTCATTGGTAGAGGGCGGTTGTTATCTTGCGGTGCTGAGTGCTGAGGGTCTGTTTTGTAATTTGGATTTGGTTGGATTTTTGTTCTTCGACCACGGGCATAATCGTTATGGTAAGAACAAACCGGACCCCCAACACTCAGTTTGTGCATGGCAAGTAGCCAGAGCACCATGGTTTTCGAGGCTCTGTGTTCTTTCTCTGTTCTCTCGCGGTTGAATCTCTATCGTGCGATTACGGCCTCATTTTCCGCTGAAAGGGAGCTCGAACAGAGAAAGAACACAGAGCCTAGGATTCGGCACAAGAAGGAATTTTCGAATAGACCCCTACATCTTGGAGTCCTAAGTTCGTCAGCTAGTTCTTTTGAAATGTGGGAGATGAATATCACTTACTCCTGATTAGACCACGCAGGTCACAACCTGGGTGAGGAGTGGATGATTGTTGATTGGCCATATTTTATTGTCTGCTATTTTATCACGTTAGCAAAGATCGGATGTGAGCATGGAGTTCTATTGACCTGGACTTGGAAGTGGAGTTCGGGTCTTTTGGGGTGGCTCGACTTCAGGATCGCTGGTGCCAGGATCCTCCATTGTCTTCAGCTTGAATAGGTTAGTCCTGCCAGGAACATAAAATTGAATCAAGTGGATAGAAAGTAAGAAGGAAGAAGGACGGATGGACAAGAGAAAGACTTACTTGAGGTGTCCTCCACCACTCCACCACCATATTTCCCCGCAGACTTCTTCGTTTCAGTCATCCGACAACCCACTGATAATTTAGTCAGCATGATCCATTTCTAAAATCAACTCAAGGTGAGAAACGAAAAACAAAAGAAGCTTACTTAAATCCCCCACCGCCACACCACCACCATATCTCCCCGCAACTTCTTCTCCCTATCAACTCTTGATCTATCAATAAACAGAGTCAGCAAGCGTCGGCTTCATTTGAGCAGAAAGAGGAAACTTACCTGAAACTCGCACAGCACACACCACCACTAGATTTCCCAGCAGACCTCCTCTTTCCATAAGCACTGTTCTCACTCTGAGCAACAGGCTGCAATTCGATGCTACCAAGGTTTTAAATCGAAGTTGACAGCTGGCACTCGGAGAGCCGCTTCTGGTGACTTCAATCATCAGTCACAAGTGACTGATGATTTTCATCGATACGCTCAAAGCCTGTGGGTTAGGCTAGGCAGGAGCAGGAGCCAGTTCTCCATTTGGTGAGAAATTGCTTCTCTTCGATTATAGAGAACCAGCCCCCACTCCGCCATGGTTTGTCATATAATGGCGTCATTTCAGTTGTTTGATTACCTGTGGATGCACATGGTTAGTAAAGTTCTCAGCATGAATTGGGAGAGATGGGATGAACATGCCTGCCGATAGTCTTGGCACCACCTGCAGTGGGTAAGACCGAGGTGGGCCGCTCTTGTCCCGCTCCCTCATCTGTTTAAGAATCTGAAGAAAATAGAGTGTTAGCATATGATTACTTTCAGGTTGACTGATTGGTCAAAGATGATGATGGTAAACAACAAGTGTGCGTGGGGAAGTTTTTTTTTCTTCACAAACCGTATTGTATTTGTTTCACTTTGAGAGGACGGAGCACAGCACACCATGGACGTGGGTGTGGATCGTTTTGATGTGACTGGAAGATGAATTTCCTGTGCTCCGTCCTCTCCGATTTTGTTGAAAATATCGTGAGGAGGCGAAGAGTTCTAAGATAAATCCTATCGTCAGTAAATGACTCTTGGCAGGTACCTACATTCAGTGGATGATAGATCATACTGATGAAGTATGATGTTGCTGAATTGAAGGCAGAGAGAATAAGTCTGAACAAGGGTTCGATCTCGCATACCTTTTTGTATTTGTTTCACTTTGAGAGGTCAGGGACTTATGGGTGCCCTGCCTCTCCTTGTTTTTTTGTTTTTTTGAACGATGAGAAAGTCTGTCGCTGAAGCAGAATTCATTGTTAGTAAGGCATCCTCTCGATCTACATTAAGTATCTAAGAGATATATGATGATTTGTAGATGCCTGTGATGGAATAAAGTTGAAGTCTTCGATCTCACATACCTATTTGGATTATCTTCGCGTTGAGAGGACGGAGCACATATGGCAATCGAGTTAAAGGCGCTGTGCTCCGTCCTCCCATCATCTTCTGTATAGTAGGGTCGAGAAGTCGTCCCTTCTATAAAGATTGAAGAAGAAGATGAAGATGAAGAAGAAAGAGGAAGAGGAGGAAGCTTTCGATTTGTTGATATATTTTGTGGGAAACCTGAAATCACCAAAAGTGCGCCAGATCAAATAGATTTCCAAAGCGGCATAATTCCCAATCTTCTCTAGCGTAGGAAAAGCAGATCAAAATCAGACCACTTCCCTTCTCATCTTCTTCTTTCCTTTCCTTTCTCTTCCTTTCCTTCCAACTCATCAAGTACCATGGATCCTCACAGTAATATCCCATTATTACTTCCTGAGTCTCACAGCATGATACTTAATGCAGATCAAAAATGGATATTAACATTCTCATAGCAAAGTTATTGCGACTGGGAAGCAAAGTTATTCAAACATAGTCGGGGAGCCACAGCTTCAAGTACCATCGATTCTTGCAGTTGAAGATCTTCCATATCTCTCTGTTTGAATCATCAGGTGTTGCTTGTTGCAGATTGAAGTGAACTTCAATGTGCTCAAGGCAGAGTCTATCTGTGAGGGGGACTTACCACGTTCATACATACATGCAATTTATTTCTCGTAGAATGATTTGGAAAGGTTTGGCTGCTGGGAGACCTGAGGTATTAACGCGTTTTTGTTTTATCATATGTATCTAAATATAATCTTCAATAACTCTCTGAATATATGTCGTCCACTGTATCAACTCTATATGTGATGATTGAACTACCTAGTAATTAAATCGTCATTCCTTACTTGCGACATTCTCCAGTCCATACATGTACCGCCCTCCCATCTTCAGCTTATCTCATTATTCCAGTCGCAGCCTTGCACCCCCCAGATTTTATCCCGCTCTCAGCCTCATGCACTGACAAACATCACCTCTGTCATAAAAAGTTCTTTTTAAAAGAATTGATCTTTATCATCCCCCATAAGATAATTCGAACTGTCTGGATGCTCATTTTTGCATAAACAATTAAACTCAAGGCGGTCACTCGAACCGAGAATCCCCTAAATAACAAGTCCCGAAGTTCTCCCATCCCTTCACATTGTTGTTCATTCAGCGTCCACAATACTACCTACATACAAACATCTATTCTACCAGAAGAAAATGATTTGATTTCACCAAATACTATTCTCATTGGCTGTTACTTCAACTAATTCTAATTACACAGGAACTCGCTGATATGCTCATACGCCCGTATGATTCTATCTTAAACTCTACGCAAAATGAACAAAACGCAAGGCAGCGCCCTCATTAACTTCTAATCAATCCGCGTTATACTCTAAAATACCTTATTCTATCAATGGCATACACGAAACATTGGACAGAATTCATTGTAGACTTACAAAAACGTGACACGCCCAGCTGGAATTAATCGACTCCCTCATCTACAAACTCTATGCACTCTTCATCTATTCATCGAGTGTCGAATAAGTCCGTCCACTCTTTTACGAAGCACTTTCACAAGATAATCTGTCAAATCCATAATTGTCATGTCTGATAAGCTGCACATGACTACCCGGAATCCCCAGTCATCTTATGAAAAGGTAGAGTCGTGTAATGTATGCACTTCAAGGTAAATGGCTGGAGTAGGATCATGCCTATGGGTCTGGTTTGTTCACCGAAGCACCTTTTGGTGATAAACTTTAGATACATACTAGAAATCACATGAAGGGGAGTTTTAAATTTGCCCTCCTGTATTTTTTTGGCGTAGTTACTGTAGTGCTCGGGATGTTTTAATCTGTTTATTTTGAGGTTTTGAGTGATGATATCATAGATAAATTCCTCTAGCCATGTATGGGCCCCCTATTTGCATTGGCATTGATTTGAGAGCCCAACATACCATTCTGTATCTCTCTTTGCATTTGAAGAGGCCCGAAATTGATTGAGTCTACAGAAAGTGTGTGGTGTGGGATTATTCCGCAAATACAGGTATTCGAAGATAAAGTGTTTGAGCGCAGCCACGAAGACGTAAATTTGAGAGACACACATATCTATCTGCGGCGTTGGAGGAAGGGCTGCCACTGTTGGACAGCTTAGGAGGTCGCTTCGAGGATCCTTAGCTGCCTTGATAGAAACTGAAGATTCTGAATTCTTCAATTCCTCATTAACTATCGGAAACATTGATGTTTTACTACCTCAAAGTTAATCGGGCGTTTATCGGTCGCGCAGAAAGAGATTGTCTCGAAATCGAGGTATTTCAAAACTTCACACTCGATAGAATAGCCATCAGCCCTGAAATATAGGAGTTCTTTGAGTACTTCAACCGTATATCACATCACACTTCTTTGTGTAAGGGGGTGAAGATGAAGCAAAGGGATGTTTTCGAACATTTCATCATCTCCTCCCTAATATCTCCATAACATCTCAGATAGCTTTATAGTCTCAGAACAGTATTTTCCTTTTTCCTGTGAGCACATGAAGCTTTTTGGAGATGTCAACGAGGTTCATCTTTACACCAATTTTATGCGTAGAAGGCTATATAAGGGACATGCAGCATATTCAGCAATGTTAACTTCCATATCATACATAATCCGAAGTACCATCGTATTTTCTTAAATTCTATCATCCTAAGACAGATCAAATGCGTCTTTATAGATCTTAATACCTAGGTCAATATTTTCCCGCAAATTCCTTCTCTGAGGCCCTTCGAACTTGAGTGAATTCCACTGAAGTCCTTTTTTCTATTTACTTTCCCTTGGGCAAATTTTCTGCTAAAATTTCCTCGGAATTTCCTTTTCTCAATATCTTGAAGAGCTCTAGTCTCTTCACCCTTATCCCAAGACAAATCATAAGACCATCCAGAATCATCTCGAATTTGGAGTTCCGAAGAGGCAATCAACTGGCGGCGTCTTAACCTTCTTCCCCGGATCCGTCTATTTGTATACCATAAAAAAGTGCTGAGCATGCCATGTCAAACCTTGCCATTTTCTGGTCTTTATCTGACATCGGGACGGGGTATTAAAGTTCCAGATTTATGAGCACTACAGTTGCTATCTGTCATATGTGTATATTCGATGTCGGAGTTGCTATTACTGATGCTGGAATTGAAGTCTTGACTAATAAAGAATATTGCTTGGTGGGAATTTGGACTGTGGTTAAAGTAAAGATAAATAACAGATTTCGAATGCCAGCAAAAGACGAAATTATAAAATAGACAATTAGATATATGCGCGTAGAAAGATAAATTAATTGATGGTGGTGGGTTGTGAGAAAGAGAAATAGAAACAGGACACATTGATAACGTTCATCATTTTAGTGCATTTTAGAACAGAAAGGTTGTGTCAAATGGTAATAATTATTCTTGCTCTATTTGACAGATCTATCTTCCATGAATGATAGATCCTTTGGTTTGAGGAAGTTGCCTGTAAAACTTTAGACTGGAAAGAGAAAGAACATCCAACGCTAACATGATTGTAGTCCATGCAATATCAACAAGTTTTTTGAACCTTTTCAGACCCCTCCATATATTGCTTCATGCAAAAAGAAAGTCTAGTTAGATTCTACCTTGGATTCTAGCACTCTAGGAACCGCTCGTATACCCAAAGCATGTGTTATCATTCTTGAAGCGACAGTGATTGTCGTTTTGGGTCTTCTCGGTATGGATTGGTTGTCTCTTGGCAAGACTGAGGTAGTGAGGCGTGCCTTCGAGTTTTTTGTATTGAAGATAGGAGAGTACACCGCTCCGAGACTATTCGAACTCGTAAATACACTGCTTCGGAATGATTTTAAGATTTCGGCAGGATGTGGTCTCCTCGCTGATGTTGACGTGATTGATGAAGCTCGTGACTGAGGATCGCTGAGTCGTCTTTTTGGGCTTAAAGTTGACCGTGTGGCTCTTGACTCTTGATTGCTCGGCATTCTCAAATGTGAATCTCTACGCTCCCTTCCAAGGTCTCTACTTCTTCTTCCGGATACGCTAGGCAAACTATGGGACGCCACCGAGCTTGTATAATTTTGAGGCTTGAAGAGTTCACCTATCGTGGGTGGAGCTTTGTCGTCGCTTCTGCCTTCAAATGGTACCGGTTTGCCTCCTTTTTCTAAAAGAGTCATTTTCTCTTCAGACTCCTCATGGTTCCCAAAGGTATCTCTAGACTTTATTGCTTCGCAACTGTGCCCAGATGTATTATTGTTCTCGAGAGTGATGAATTCTTTGGTGACAACCTTCATGATGATTGCTCCCGTTTTCCCCGCCTTATCTTTACCCACCTCTCTTGAATCTCCCTTTCCAGTAAGCAGATCTAGTTCACCATTTTTGATTGTGCTTGATAGCTCGATCGGGACCGCGGCAACAATAAGACGTTCAGAATCCTTCTCATTCTGTTCTGCGAAAATCTCTCTGGCGCCAACTTGCACGTCAACCTTCTTCTCGATGAGTACTGGTGCACTAAAACCAACTATAACCCAGTCGACTCGACCCCCAGGAAGTATATTTTTTTGCCACATTACTTTATTTCGTGTGATATTCTCGACCCGTTGTCGAGTTGAAACTTCGACATTGCACTGTTCTTGCTTTCGGTCTCGAGAAGCTAGGTTCTTGATACTGGCTGCAGCGCATTAGCAAATGTCTCCCAGACTGAAATCACTCTTACTTTGCGACATGACTTCCGTTGATATCGATATCGGTGGATTTTCCAATTATTTGCGTGATTGAGATGGCTCTTGGATCGCGGATTAATGGCTGAGTTCTCGATAGACGGACGGTATGAATGTTGTATCAGAAATGCGCAACTTCGTGAGAGAGATGAAAATTGTATTATGAATAATAATCACAGTCCCTTCATTGAATATATGTGGGACCTGGGAGGAGGTATTTTCCCTTGTCTTCTACGAAAAAAGGTGTAGAAAGGTGAATTTGAGACATATGTTTTGGATTTCGGATTCTGAGAGAATGTGAAGCCTACGACTGGATCAAAATAGAAGGTGCTCCCAAACAAGAATCGCTCTTTACTTCTCGAGAATCTATATGATAGGAGAACTGACAAAGGATCTCATGGCGAGGAGAATGGATTTTTATGGTAACAAGTTGTAGTTTTCAAAGTTGCAGATGATGAATGAGGAGATGGTGTTTGGGAAGTAAGAAAAAGAAGCGACTTAGGAACTTCACCTAGAAAGAAAAAAAAAATTGAAACGCATCAAAAAGCTTTCTAGTTTACTGTATAATCTTATATCAGAACCGAATATGCATTCAAAGAGTAGGTTGATGTCTGAAAGATGATTCAATTGAGGATTGGATTTATCATGTGACTCACTCTTGGTCATGTGATAATCAACGCACAAACTAATATCTTGAGCTCTTGCGTGCTGCATCAGTATGAACATTCAAAATCCCTCAAGTAATGAACCACAATACGCCCCGAAACAGATAAATATGATATCTCCAACATCCTGCAAACTGCTCAGTGCCATATATGCTGTTGAAGCTCAACTGCAGACTCTCCTATGCATATAGGTGAGCTTTAAGAGAAATAATCTATTTTAAGAAGCCCCGCGGTCCTCATAACATAGAATGAAAAGATCTGGCTTGTTTTAGGTGCTGAATTTCTCTATTGGGCATACCATAACAAGTTGCTGCAAAGGCGCTCAGCGACTAAAGTTGCGAGTATCAACTTGGAGTGCTTTACTATTCTTTGCCAATATGGAAAGTGTGCTTCTGGGTGAAAAGAAGTAGAGAGTAGGCGAAATGAAAGATTTTTCTGGTTCCTATGAAGTCCGACCCGTGATTGTGAGCGTGGGATGAGGGGCAACTGTAAGCTCCTGGCACCGAGCAGATCTAGTTTTGAGATGCTTTAAGGTTTTATTGTTAATTTTAGCGTATTCTAGAATCGTTTCTTCAGATGCTAGCAGATTTCATCACTCTCGAGTGAGAGTGAGAGTGAGAGTGAGGTGATGGAAGACGGTCCACTCGTTCACCTTTGCTGCAATTGAGGTTCTTCCTGTATTCTTTCGCAGTGGTGTCTGAAAGATGAAATCTGGCTTACCTTCTTTGGCACCAGGAATAACTCATCACTGGTACTTTCATTGTTTTTCTTTTTTCGCTTGACTTAGACATCAGGTTGATGTTAAGCTCGAGATATGATACTACCACCCTCTGGTAGGGTCGGGAACGCATCTATTCAGGCACATCACATATCCAACAGATGCTCGTGTGTCCTGCAAGCCTGGTTTGGTACTCCATATCCACAACACAGTTTCCCCTGGTCTTAAAGCATGGTTTATCTCGCTGCATTACTACTACTCAAATGATAATATGGAATTCTAATAGGAAAACCCTTAATTCGACAGCAAATCTCATTGCCACCTTCACACAAAGATCATCCTACCAGTACGAATCCTAAGTCTCGGTGCACTTGCGACCGCGTGTTTTCTTTCTCATATACGTCACCTTATTTAGTATTTCCAGCCCATATCGAGAATGCACCTGCTCGTGTGCTGGCCCTGTCAACAACTCGTGTACAGAGGCCACATCTGATATCTATGCGATCATCTGTTACTAAAATGAGAAGCTGGAGAACACGGTGTTGAAGTATGCTTCTCTCCCGAAATATCAAATTTATGGTTGACCTAACTAGCCCCATGTTGCCGAAGTTTTGGCCAACAGTTGCTTGCTACCTTCCGTTCTCAACCGTCAACGGCTTTTTCCCAGTCTGCCGGTACCGATCACCATCCCGATATATTCGTTCCCTCGCCACTGATAGGCACAGTGAGATTACTCTCCTGCCAATCTTGCTTCAATCTCCTACACACAAAATGCAAAAGTCCTGGCAATAGTTGGCCCCGGCGTTTCATTGACAAACTTCCAGGAGTGGTATCGCCTAGAAATTATCTGACAACTACCAGAAAAAAAGGCTATGAGCGACAGCACTAAATATCAGATGAAGTGTCAACCATTCCTCACTTATCGACGAAATTACCGCCACAAACTAACCTCCGTGGCCCCACCCTCTTTCCTCTCTTCAAAATTCGACGTCTTGTGACTGAATGAATTTGGGTTACATTCTCTGATGCACCTAGTTAACAACAAGAGCCTCTATAAAAGCTACCAAGGTACATACATACATCCCCCACTTCGGATACCCATCAATCTTACAGTGCCAAGCCCGAGGCCCGAGTACCTCATCAAGTAGGTTTGTATATTCTCAGCGCTAACCATCACGTGTACGGTCATGCCACGAAGGTACATCGAAGAAACCACCCCCAAGCAAAAGCTAGCAAGGAAAAATCAGATAGTAAGTAAGAAAGAAGGCAAGTCGTCCGGATAAAATTCTCAGGCTATTTATGTAGCCTTAACCTTAACATCCCTCCACTCCACTCTCCGCACACCCCTGTTATCCCCTGGAGCATTTCCGTCGCGTACCTACACCATGCATCGAAAAGAAACTTAGGTACAACCCCGGCCGGCAATCACCGCCATGGGGATGAAGAAACCAGGATGAGACTAGGGTGCAGATGAACGCAACCTTATTACTCACCTCACACATTACCACGTTTGAACCGAGGGCTTGCAGACGAGAATTCCAGGAAATCAACAGAACGGTCCACGGGTATCACAGAAGATGTACCCCAGAAATGCCTCGTTTTTATATTGTATTTGTGTCACTTGCGGATGTATGCTGGTGGTACAGAGTACAGAGAAAATGTGTTCCTGGGGAAATGCGGGGTACATATACACCACATCACTAGCGTTTACTGGGACTATACGTTGTTCAATTTATCTTTCTGTTCTGCCTTCTTGTGATTCACATCTTCATCAAGAAAAGACTATTTTGGTGGGTCATTGGATTACTGATACGATTCCACCTCTTCTTTCAATAGCCAATCAATAGGCTGACATATTCCCCATAATTAACCTTACTTTAACCTTAAGCTCCGAACTTCGCTTTCATGCTTAACCTGCTCGTTGCCTGCTTGGTTTCTTCAAGGGTTATTTATACAAGTATTTCAACCTGTCAAATTTCCTTTGTTAAATTGTCCCCTCCACCTAAAATGCGACAGAATGCAATGTACGATCTCTGTACTCCATCAACATCCATTGCATGTCTGACAATTCACGCCCCCATTCTTGCAGGAAATCCTCCATTTTGCGAGTCATTGGGTGCTGAAAGTGGCAGGTTATGATCGGCTTTGTCATATCATAGAAACGTTTTCAACCATTAAGAAATGTTACCAAAGTTTGGATATGGCTTTTATGTGATAGAGAGTTTAGACGTGACTACGCGTTACTTGGTGCTATATGCCTCGTGATTCCTCTGATGACATACGACGTATCATGTTACTATTTGTTTTGCTAGATGAAAAAAGCGATGCTATGTTATGATGTAAACCATGCTTGCTAGTTCCCATCGATACATCTCATTCTTCGGAATACCAATTAGGGAGTTTGTCGTCTCGCAAAGAGCTCCCAAGAAGGAAATCCGCAGGTGTACCCTTTGATCCCTCCGGAGTACATGATATCATCGAGCTTGCTGGTGTTCTCAATTTCTTGTGGATCGACAGGGCGTAGAACTTCATATTGTCTAAAGGTTGTACCTTTATTTTCGCCCTAAAAAAGTTTCCTGTCACGGGCTGATAGTAAAGGGTTCTTATTAATTATAGTTGTATTATCTGCGGTCTCTTCTTTGTTAGTCGTCGGTTGACGATTGCAAAAATACAAAACATTCCCGTGACATCTTAATCTCATGTTGACTCTCAGCGTTTCTCTCGCATGTTTGCATGAAGAACAAAGCTAAGCAGGTGCAAGCTCTTCTCGACGCGTCTCGTATGGCCTAGATGGGATCAGTGGAGATTTGGATGATTTGTTCCGGGCTCTCCTGCTATTGATTGTGGGGAAAATCCCAGGCTTCAGTGCCCTATATTATTACTGCTATCACTGCCGAAACCTGGGGATCTACTAGTAACAAACGTGGTACAAAGAGATCGTACTCATATCCAGCATGCCGATTCGCCAATATTATTCCCGCGCGTTTCGGATGTCAAGCCACAATATGTGTTACGCCTCTTTTCGTCTTTGCAGAAGCCATACCAACGCGCGTTATGCTTGGTCTGACAATCTAATACTTTCGCGAGTATCAAATATTTAGATTGCTGTAACATAGGGGCAGAGGGGTAGGGAATGATAGACCAACCCTGTGTGTAATGTCCTCATCCTCTCAGATCGTCGAGATCTTCAGGACGGCCCCGACTCCGACTGTCTTTGCTAGCTCGGCAAGATATTGCTTTGTGATATAGTTCAGGTTCGCTATTTGCCCGGGCATCCTAGAAAGCATTCTCCCCGGGCATTATTGCTAGAATTATGTGGGTTTTATGGTACGCCACCCCCTCATTCTGTCAGGACGTTCGCATAATGCACGGCTGCTTTTTCTAGTTCGGCTCTCCACTATATTTCAACCTTGGTTAGCTAAAAGTTGTCCGCTATTGAATGACCTAATGGAATGACTTCAGTGCAGAACATGCAAAGCTAGTGCCCTGGCATTTAAACTCAAACCAACTCACTATCAGAGGGGGCCGCTATGCATCTAGAGCACACTGACGTACCAGAAAATATGTCAGTGCTCGTAGCAAATCATGTTATTGAAAGACCCTAGCGTCGCTGTGATTTTTGAGAACATTTTGAGTCAGTTGCTCCGATATATTGATGCTATTGTATGACAGGGAAGCTTTACGACACTAATACTACCGAAAATGATGTAAAATAATGCAATAAGAAAGGCCTTGCTAGGTAAAAATATGATTCAGCATCTGCGTATCTCACTCCACTAGAAGCGTACTTCATATTGAGCCAGCCAATGTGATTCATCTGATAGGAAATCGTCAATCACTCGACCTAGACACATTTCTCCGAGTGGCAAATACTACCGTCGTCCTTGGAAGGAATATTACTCCCATCCCACATACTACCCTTTCATACACATGAGTATTTTGGAATTCGAAGTCAAATCAAAAATCAACACACACCAATACTTAATCAAGACTAGAGGCCTACCGATCTATACCACCCTCGT